TTAGACACCCCGCCTTATTTCACCTGAGCATTAACCGAACCTAACCTCAAGTTAGCATCAGGGTGGTGGATTGATTCTTCAAGTTATCCGTTGTTTCTGAATGAATAAAATTAAAGGAAATAATACAGTTTTATTCTCCTATGTTTAATGGTAATTACTACTACACACACCAAGACGTACTATGACCTTCGCTCCTCTTGTGTGTGTGTGCGTGCGCGTGTCTGTGTGGGTGTGTGATAAAGAGAGAAAAGACGAGAACGAGACAAAAAGCAACGACAGACAAAAAGATAATAAAGATAAACAGAGATAAACAGAGATAAACAGAAAAAGATAAATATAGATAAAGCTAACAAACAATAAGAGATACAATATGAGAGAGAGCTAAACAGGGAAACAATGATCAACATAAAGACAAACACAGACATACAGAGAGAGAGAGAGAGAGAGAGAGAGAGAGAGAGAGAGAGAGAGAGACCAGGCAACTCTGTCAGAATACAGCCAGAGAAATAGGGAGGTGGGGAGCGAGTCTAAAAAAAATCCGTGTAATAAAATAAAAATCACTGAAACGTGAACGATTCTGAGGAACTGTGTGCATGAAAACACCCCGAGGACCAAGGGGGTGTAAAATAGGTGGGGAGGGGAGGGTGAAGGAAGGGAGCGGGAAGAGGTGGGGTGAGGTAGAAAACAGGGTTGGAGTGGGAGAGGGAGAGGGAGAGGTATGAGAAGGGGGAAGGATGAGGGAGGAGAGAAGAGGGAAGAGAGGAAGAAGGAGGGAGAAGAGAAGAGGGAAGGGAGGAAGAAGAAGGAAAGAGAGAGGATGAATGGGGAGGATAAAGAGAGGGAGAAAAGAAAAAGGGAAAAAGGAAATGAGAGGAAAAAAGCAAGGTAGATAGGAGGAACGGAGGAAGGAGAGGGAAGGGAAGAGGGAGGAGGGAGAGAGAGATATTCAAGTCTCTTACCCTCACTACAAGTCACGCCTCCATCTCTCTCTGTCTGTCTTCCCAGAACAGTGGAATAAAATACATGTACACACAAATGAAGGCTCTTCATTAGACACTGGAGTTGTGCCAGAGTTGTGAAACAGGCAATGTAGTGCAACGCGTCCAAAAAGGGAGACAGAGCATCAGCATCAAATTACCGGCCGATCAGTTTGACGTCAGTAGTGGGGAAATTTCTTGAATCAATTATAGCAGATAGCATCCAATTGCATCTAGAGAAAAGCAAATTAATCTACGACTCTCAACATGGGTTTACAAAGGGAAAATCTTGTCTAACAAATCTGCTAACGTTTTTTAGGAAAGTCTTCGAGGTAATAGATAATGATGAAAATTACCATGTTATTTACTTAGACTTTAGCAAACATTTGACAGAGTACTGCATCAGAGGCTTCTGAGAAAAATTAAGGCTCATGGTATCGAGGGGAAAGTTTTAAATTGGATAAAATCATGGCTCACCGATAGAACCAGAGGGTCGGGGCGTAGACAGTTAACTGAGTGGGGCTGTGTAACCAGTAATTCTAGGGGTCAGTACTAGGCCCACTCTTGTTCATAATTCATAATGACGATATTAGATCAGCAGTGACACAAGGGCTGCGATGACACCAAAATAGGGCGGGCACCACCGCAGGAGATGCAAAAATACAGGAGGATCTAAATAAACTGCAGGGGTGGTCTGAAAAATGGCAAATGAAATTCAACACCAGCAAGTGCAGCGTACTTAATATCGGAAGAACAAATACTTATAATGTATATAGCCTTAACAACATCAACCTAGAGAAGTCGACTTGTGAAAGAGACCTAGGGGTACTTGTAAGCCCGGACCTACGGCCTAGAAAACAGTGTGTTAATGTTCGAAATAAGGCAAACAGAGTATTGGGTTTTATATCTAGAAGTGTAAGTAATAAGAGTGCAGAGGTCTTATTGCAACTATGTCTTGCGCTAGTCAGGCCGCACCTCGATTATGCGGTTCAGTTCTGCGCCCTCATTATAGAATGGATAACCACTAGAGTTTGCAGCGAAGAATGACAAAATGGATTCCGGACTTAGAAACCCTCCATATCAGGATAGGTTAAAGAAAACTTAACTTGCATTCTTTGTGAAAGACGAAGAGATATGATAGAAGTATTGTATAAGAAAGGAACTGGGCCAAACGGATATATAGATAAAGTTCTTATAATATCCGAGCAGGATAGGACTCGACAACGGATTCGTTGGATAAGTCAGTTTAGGGAGAGAGATAGAAGAAACTGGTTCACAAATAGGGTGGTGGGACGAGTGGAACAAGTTTAGCAACTTTGTAGTAAGTGCGGGAACTCTGGAGTTTTAGCGAAGTGCTGATATTCATGATGATATATAGTAGAATTCTCGACAGGAGCCATTGCACAGCCAACCCGGCCTATTGCAGACCTTTATTTTCATGTTTTCATGTCTCTTCTCTGTTATCAGACCAATTGCCTCATTGACCCAGTTAATGTGTGAGGGGTTCACATGGGTCTCTTGAATAGTACACTGAGATACACTGACACGAATTTCACATGTCACAATCCCATTGACAGATCTCCTCTACACATAACCTCACCGGACATAACTGTACAGTAGAAATAAATCCCAACTCACAAATCATAACCTGACAACCATGCCTACTGTACGTGAAGGAATATTCATTGTTAAAAAATACCAAGTGACCATTTTTCGTTATAATAAAAATCTTATTGGATGATTTTTTCATGGGGTAAAATCCTACTGTACGACCAAAATAATGGTAATTACAAGATACTGGTAATTAAGTGAAAGGTCATCATCCTTCATACAGTACAGATGGTCACCAACTTAAACTTTAACACATAAAAAAGAAGCGCCCCTGACAAACACGGCATTGAACTCTAGACCAGTTGGACTGTTGATGGTCAACCCCGCAGTGTTGTCGCGAGGCCTCTACCATATAAACTTTATAAGGTATTTATCTATTACAGCTTAACTTCTATGAACAGACAACATTTATTCAGCGTGTGTGAACACGGTAACGTCGATTTTTTTTCCTTTTTGCGTTCATTATTGTCGAACGCGCGGTAGAAAGGACGGTCGAAAGGACGGATGGATACACAAACGGACGCAAGGACAAATGAACGCACAGACAGATCGCCCACACATGCGGCGAGGAAAAACAATTACATCCGCCATCTCGCGCACAAGCACATTCCTGCCAAGTTTCATCAGAATTGAATTTAAAGCGGAAGACTTGTAGAGCTAACAAGACTTACGACTTCACACAGGCAAGCAAGCAGGCAGAGCTAGGCGGGGCAGGCAAACGGACAGAGAGACAGACAGACAGACACGGAAGATTGGCAGAAATGACAGACATCAAGATGACGCTGAGCTCATTCTTGTCACAGTCTCTTGTCACAGACAGACAGTCATTTCACCATCTCTCAACGGATTAACCACTACTGTATGTCTGTGTCCATGTGTCTATGTGTCAGGGTTACTATATGTTAATTTAGTTCCTTCTGTGTCCGTGTGCCATTGTGTCCATTTGTGAGTAAGTCCGTTTTCAGCCTAAATGACACTGTGTGTCTGTTTCAATACGTCAGTTAGTCCGTGTGTCACTGTCATTATTTCGTGTGTCAGGTGTGTCATGTTTGTGATCTCTCTCTCTCTCTCTCTTTTACACACACACACACACACACACACTGTAACCAACCGTATATAATGGTGAAAGAAGAAATATATGTTTCCACCTGTAAAATATCCAAAGTGAATACCAATAAAGTAAACTATATGTAATTAATTAATCTCGTACTGATATTTAACACAAGACCAACAATGAATCATTACCTAAACTCTGACTCGTATCTTCTACAGTTTCATAGTAATTGGCATCATAACATAACTGTGAGGAACCCGGAGACATCACCTTACAGTACTTCATGGTAGAGAAATTCTATATTGACTTTCTCGATACGTTGGTAATAATACATTGAACCATTAAAAAATATTCTTTATGCATTATGAGGGAATTGGTTGATTAGAATTTGTTAATAACAGATTGCAAATTAGTTTCAAATATATTATACGAGTAAGAAACATCGGACACTTAGTACAAACGGGACTCATATGTACCTCACTTCTCAACATAAATTGAGATAATTTGCCTCACTACCGAAGAGAAGCGAGATAATTTGCCTCATTCCCTCACAGTAAGACGAGATAAAGTTCCTCACTCTTAGGAAACAAGATATAAATCACTTCACTTCCTCACAAACACAACACAATATGGTCACCCCAGAGAGTGACCCCCGTATTGTCTCACTTCTCAGTCATATAGTAGATTCATATAGTTATTTTGGCTGCCCTAGAAAAACCTTCAGGGTGAATGAAAATGTCAAATTATCTGTACATCTCCAAGGATTTGCCAGAATGTTTGAATTGTGTAATGTTTTTGCAAAAATTATCCAAAGTTGAATATTTACATTATATGGAATCCCCAAAGTCGAGCCTGTTTACATATTAACGCGTTTGTTCTGTTACACACACACACACACACACACACATACACACACACACACACACACACTCAACAGCTCGACAATTATGTGCTCGGGTATAGGGTATTTTGTTTGTGATGAAGTAGTGTATAAAGATTTATTATTATTATTATTATTATTATTATTGTTTAGTATTGATGATAGGGCAGTCTCTCTCTCTCTCTCTCTCTCTCTCTCTCTCTCTCTCTCTCTCTCTCTCTCCACACTTTCATTGACCACTACATTTTTCTCTTTACAGCTAGACTTATTCTACCATCAACCTCATCCCTGCCATCAATACACTTATTTTCACCAGTTAACGATAATTTCTGATAATCTGTCAAATTGTTCCAAAATGTCTTTCACGTATTTCATTCACTAAACTCCAGCCTGTGTGTTTGTCATGAAAATCCCTGACTGGCTTTAGTTGGATCGAAGTAAGTTGCAACATCAATATTGACATCCAGCAGGCGCTAACTGTCCTCCTGGAGTCTCGTTCAATTGAATTTCCGAGTTTAGGAGCTCTGACTGGTTTAGGATGAGCTCTGGTTGGTTTAGGAGGAGCTCTGGCTGGTTTAGGAGGAGCCCTGGGTGGTTTAGGGGGAGCTCTGGCTGGTTAAGGAGTTCTGGGTGGTTTAGGAGGAGCTCTACCTGGTTTAGGAAGAGCTCTGGCTGGTTTAGGGGGAGTTCTGGGTGGCTTAGGAGGAGCTCTACCTGGTTTAGGAAGAGCTCTGGCTGGTTTAGGGGGAGCTCTGGCTGGTTTAGGAGGAGTTCTGGGTAGTTTAGGAGGAGCTCTGGGTGGTTTAGGGAGAGCTCTGGGTGGTTTAAGAGGAGCTCTGGGTGGTTTAGGGGTTGTGGCTGGTTTAGGAGGAGCTCTGGCTGTGATAAGTTATAATCTCACCCACTTCTATAACTGGCAAGCTGGACTGTATTTACCTTATTTCTCTCTAATTCCATTGTGATATTACCATTATTAACAAGTACCATTATTAACAGAAAGTACCATTATTAACAAGTACCATTACTAACAAGTACCATTATTAACAGTACGTACCATTAGTATCAGCAAGTACCATTACCATCAACATTTCACTACGTTCTTAATTACCGAGGCATCTTCTTCGTCGTATACCAAGATAATACCCTGACGTAGCACCCTCAAGTAATCAAGCTGTTGCGTGAAAGATAGGGGTGACTTACTACCATCCCCTCATGTTAGAGCGCGTGTCCATGCTATCAGCTTCGGTCTTAAGGCCGAAGTAAACACAATGAATGATTATATTCTACAGAAATTAATTTAAAAAAGCAACAAAGCCTCGTGCCTTTCTCCTTCATCAACGTCTCGACCAAGCTTGAAGCAGTAGGCGTGGCGGGATGCTGGTGCTCCTAAAAGCTATTTCTAGCAACATTCTGCTTCCCATAAACTTTCCCAAACTACTTAAGCAATAAGCGTGGTGGTCTTGAGCGAGAAATTTCCTCATTACATCATTAGGAACGATAATTTTAGTTTTATAAGACGATACTACCTTTTAATAGGCATCTTTCTCATTACAATACAGATGAAACATACACGTGACAGTGCTAGCGTTCAATTACTTTATAAAGAGTAAAAATATATTAACAACGAATCTATTTAAATGAAATTTACCATGTTAATTTAATCATAAACATCAGGGAACTTCTTGAAGATAAGTTTAGAATTTAGCATGAATATATTTCACGTTGATCTGACCATAAACATCAGGGACTGTCTTAAAATAGAACTAAATAAGTATAAAATTGGACTGAATTTTAGCCTCATCAATGTTTTAAATCATTAGCTGATGTTTTTGTTTCCACACTTCACGAGGGTAGAGAACCGAGGGGGAGGGAGGGAGGGGGGCAGTAAATACCAGTTGTCATTAAATTTTTTATAAAACTGATGGATATTTTTCCCAATGTGTTCATCGTGTTGTGTTGTTGTTTGTCATATTATAACGACGTCTATATTATGTATGAATTATGGAGATGGAAAGGTACCTACTATATGCTATGTGTTATAAGGAATATGTTAATATTGAAATTCGTGAGACACCCTCCGTGAAGATACTTTTTTGGCCGAGTTACGTGGTAGGAAAAGTTGTTTTGCCATTTTTATTTTTTTTTTTTTACAGTAAACCTCATCATTAACACTTGAAAAAACACTCGAATCTGACCACCTCAAGTATTAACCCGACTGACAATACGGTACCTGTGACGGCTTACCCGTTTAGGTTATCAGAGGGTCATACTCCAGGTGATCTCAAGTACTCTATCTTCAAGAACGAGAGAAAATCCTACTACATTCCATCTATCCTCGGTTGATCGCCACCATCCAGGCTTCAGAGTGCCTAAATAATCTCCCCTCCACGATTAACTTCCGGCTACTAATCTCTGCTCCTGACAGACTTGATCTCATTCCCTTAAAGACTCAACATATCGCCGGGATAACAACTCATCTAAGCGAGTCACTTTCCTCGGCCTCTTTATCATCATTAAGTACGAGGATGTACTTTACGTCCGCTCAGCCGGCCTTAACCTAAAAAAAAAAAACTCCTTATCATTACAGTTATTTTCAGTGATTTTATTTTCCTTAAATACATCTTGAATAAAGACGAAAGTTAAGGTGCTCCGTTGTTTCCATTTTCCCGTGTGATTTTATCAAGATATATATATATATATATCAATTCCATTAATTTCAAGCGTTTGTAACAGGAATTGTTCACTGTATGTTATTTTTAACTTTGATAATTCTGTTGGAAATTATTATATACGTTACCGGAACAAGTAATTAAAATTTTTTACAAACTATAATCTTATTAAACATTTACACCATGTATAAACAACAGCTTTGTCGGACTTACCATTTTTTTTCATTGACTGTATAGTGTGTGTGTGGGTGTGTGTGTGTGTGTGTGTGTGTGTAAGATAGGAGACAAAATAGCGTCAAGTGGTCGAGGCAGGTACGAATGAGGAAGCATCACCGTGTTAATGCTAAGTCGTTTAGTAATGGCACACCCTGGCCTCGGGACTCTGTTGATCAGCTCCAATAAGAATTAACTGCCTCATCTATCTCTCCATTATTCCCCATTACACTTGACTGCTGCTACAATTTTGTCTTTTTTTTGTCCTATTGTTTTCTTTTGTTTTTTGTTTTTAAGTTGCTAGAGGTGATAATGAAAGGTGTGTTGTGTGGAGTGTTGGTGTTGTGTTGATGACTGTGGTATTCAATTGTTTTTCTTAGTGTTGTTTTACGAGTCTTGTCTTTCTCTCTTCATCTTTTCTAATAATAAATTAAACATAAAGTATTCCTTCCTCTTATTTTAGGTTTATCTTTTATCTTTATTATTCAGAATTTTTCGTTTATTTCTTTCTTTAACAAAAACCTGAATTATGTGTCGTTAGTTTTCTTCTATAATCTACTTAAGGTATTATGATGGCATTACCTTACAGCCAGAAATACTATAACTTGAGCCTCTCTCACAAGCTTGTTGACTGATCATTTGTTATCACCTATTTCCTACCTGCTTCTAAGCCCTCGTAAAATAACTGTCCAAGGGTAACCGCATCCATTTTGGCGAACTCTTCAGGAGCCATCGAAGCTCTCGCAACGTGGGCTTTGTTGCCAGCGGAGCGAGTATGAGTGTTGTCTCCCGGCTGGAGAGACTGATACTTCAAACTATTGGTATCCATACATAACCTGGCCCCATTTAAAGAAAGCGATCAATCGTTTAGATACACCACAGGGAAATCATCGCTGAAGGAGCATTAGGGGGTGAAAAATCAGTCGACATACGGTGTTTTATTTGCACTTCAGCATTGTTCCCTGGTTCATATTCGCCACATTCCAGGAAAGCTTGGCGTGCCCGGGACGTGTTATAGCTCTTCAAAACAAAATTGCCATTAAGGAATTTACAGGATAAACAAACAACGAGATTCCAGTGCATATGACTGTGAGTGTATATGAACGGGGGCGCTGTAAATACAAAACTCATAATCCTACTTTTATCCCCCGAGCGGGACATCAAGCGTGCTCTTACCCCTCAAGTGTCGCCCGGGTGACGAGAATGCACAAAGTATGTCTATGAATTATATATTTTTTTCAAATAGAATGATAATATATTGACAGCTCACCCGCTACGAGACTCTGTGTTATACGGAGAAAGACCTTGAATAGGATTTTAATATATATTATACATGTATCGACAATAACAAATAAATACTGAAAAATACTGACAAAATACGTGTATCAGTAATATAAATAACGATGGTGTATAGTAGTATTATTGGTGTGAATTATCATATGAAAGTTATACGCTAAACTAGGAAGAAGAAGTGCAGGTATATAATTTGATTAGTTAGTGTTAAGATTATACACCAAAGAACGCTGATATGTAACTTGTTTACTCTGAGAACACGAGAGCACATACCAAACACACTCAACAAATCGTGAGCACATCCCCGACACACACAGATGGACTACCAACACACTCACATACTCAACACAACTTAGGCGGACCACCAACGCACTCAACAATATACAGACGCACCACCAACACACTCAAAACAACCAGGGCGGACCATCAACACATTCACACACTCAACACAACTCAGGCTAATCACCAACGCACCCACACACGCAACAGTATACACACGTACCACCAACGTACTCAACAAAACACAGACGAACCATCAACACACTCACACATTCAATACACTCACAAACTTAACGCAATCAACAGTACACACACGCACCACCAACACACTCAGCAGGTCACAGACGTACCACCAACACACTCACACACTTAACAGAACACACGCACCACCAACACACTCACACACTCAACAGAACACACACACACACACACCACCAACACACTCACACACTCAACAGTACACAGACGCACCACCAACACACTCAACAGATATAGTGGCTGGTTGGCGTTCATATACATAACCACTTATGGCCAG